GACCATTCTTTTAAGTGAAGTATCACAAGAATGGAAAAGCAAACACCACATGTACTCACCATTAAATTGGAACTAATCGATCAACATTTATGTGCACATATGGAAATAACACTCATCAGATGTCAAGCAGGTGGGAGTGGGGAGGAGAGGATGGGTAAATTCACACCTAATGGGTACAATGCACACTATCTGGGTGATGGGCACACTTATAACTTTGACTCAAACAGTACAAAAGCAATTCATGTAACCAGAATATTTGTATCCCCCATAATATTCTGAAATTTAAAAAAGATAAAAAGTTCTTTGACATATTTATTATTATTTTCTAGCAAATGACCTCAGATTTGAATACTGCAATGCAAATTTGTACTCTATTTGCCATCATTGTTTATAAAAGTATTTTAAAGTAATATTTTTATATTTTATATAGATAAACTTATAAATGAACTTAAACTTATAAGTGAACTTAAACCCTCAAAGTCAGTATTTCAGTCACTTGTGTGTAATTCATTACACATTTTTTTCTTTGTAATAGTTGGCAGCTATCAAGGTAGCCCACAAAAGTCTAGCAAATTCCCTACTGTGGCTCCAGTGTTTACATTTGCAATGGAAACAAGTTGAAAATGAATACTGATGTTATGGTAGCAATGGAAAGTATTTAAAATACAAGGTAAAAGGACACATGAGTTTTCAAGTTCCTAGGAAGGAAGAGGCTAATGGGTGAATATTAGGTTGTATAGTTCCATGTCTTGGCACCAGGTGGCGCTGCTGTTCAAGAACAGCTTGGTTATTCACCACGTCAACTGTGTAGATGAGGGACGTTCATGTGACTGTTCCTGTTACAAACATTCACATGTTCCTTGTCTTCAAGTTGCTTATTTATTTTTGTCCTTTACCTGAAATCTTAGTTCCTAAAAATTAACACTACGAAAAATATCAATAGCTTACAGCAGCATGTCAGGTTTTAAGAACTGGGGAGAGAAAGTATTCATAAATACATTAGTGCTTATGGCTCAGGAATATGTGAATCTTGCCCCTCACTTCCATATTTTGGTCTTGTGACTTCTCTGGGATGGCTTCATCTTCTCATTTTAAAAAGGTTATAATAAGCAAATATAATAGATATTAATCAATAATAAAAAAAGAGACTGTATATATTAAACCAGTGAGGTTGCTCTAACCCAGGGAAGTCAGCGTGGGCCTTGATTCTCCTACATTCAAACTCATACCCTGGACTGGACAGAATCTTCCGAGTGCTCACTCTAAGGTACTCACACCAATATCAGCAACTGCCCCCCAGCTGGTAAGAAATACCTAAGCATATTCTTTTGGTTATCCATCATGCTAAAACTTAATTTTTAGTTCATCTTAAGTTCTTACTATCCTAAATTTCTGAGGTATATACTATTCTGTCTCCACAGAATACAAATATTAATATAAAATAATGAATTTTTAAAAAATTTCTGAAGGATAAGTTTCTCAAAAATTGTTGGTAGGAGATACATTTTCTTGATGTCAGCATGTATTTCTACAAGAAATGAACAGGAGGGAAACAGTTAAGCTGTTATTTAGGAAGGCTGTTAACTTCTCTAAATGGTGAGTTCCTGGATCAAGTTGAAAGAATCAATTTGAAAGGAAGAATCAATTTGAAAGAATTAATGAACATAATTCATTCCGATCTAAAATAAGTGACAACCCATTTGGCTAACAGACATTACTGTTTTTACTAGCTCCTACATGGTCATTGCCATTAGTGCATTTTCTTCTGTAATGAGACTGGTGTACATGTTTTTAGTTTTGCTGGAGAGGGATTACTAAAAATCAGCATATACCTGCATATTTTTTTTCCAATAACAGGACAAACACCAAAGAAAAATGGCCAGTAGCAATTTGTATCTTAATTCAGCTCTTCAGATGATCAGTTAATCTACAATGATTTAAAGGTCACTGGATCCCTCAGTATCCTAGATTTGAGTTTTTCTTCTCTCTGTTCTCTATTCAGTTATAAAATTATTCAATAAATGGCAAGAACAAGTATTTCAGTGTGCTGTAATATGTGAATGTAGACTAAAAATGCACACAAGACAGAAATGACTAAAGTGACTTGCAACTATTCTTCCTTTAACATATTTGACACCAACTCACTGACTTGGCAATGAGAAAACAATACAGGTGCTCAGTCTTTGTGGCTAAAATATATAGAGAAATTGGCCAGTGGAATATGTTTCTCTCTCGTCCTCTGCCCAGAGGGAGGGCAGAGAAACTCTTCAGGACAGAGGAACTGTGGACTTGCTTGGCCTTCAATGTTACCATAGAAAGAAATCACAAGAAGATGCCCGAGAGACAACAGAACACAGTAGAAGCTACTGAAGCATCAACTCAAAGGTTCATTTTGTTGTGCACATGCCGTGCGGCAGCTGAGAGAGTTATACTGGGATGATATTCACAATATTTGACAACCAGCCCCACTCAGAAACTGAACTCAAAACAGTTGCTGAGTGTAGGGCCGGGCCAGGGCCTGAAGACCCCTTCTGTCCCATGAATCACCCCTTTCGCTACTTCAGTGTTGGAAGAAGGAAGGGGGCTGCCAGGGTGGCAGGTGCACCCTGGAAGTGTTTCAGTATTTTAACTGCTAGCACAGCTGGACGGTGTGGACTGGCCAAGGGGCCTGGCTTATGGAAACCGTTCATCCCACTGCACAAGAATGCCAGATGTCCTTATTCCTCTGAGATATTTAATATTCGGCTATGCCAAACTCTAAGGGGAAAGTAAGTCTATAATTTATAGGTGGAAAGATTGTGGCTGAAGGTAAAATAAGAGCTAATAATAACTCAATTTTCAGAAATCTTTTTTCATTTAATGTGCTTTCAGATCACAGGATGAAGACCCACAGTTTCTGAGAAGGCACATATTTACATGGAGAAAATAGGATGTCAATAGGACACATCCCGACAGCAGCCAGGTAAATGGGTCCTTTGGGCTAAGATTTTTGTGGGTGGTTTATCTGTGTTTAAAAAGAACAAAGAGGCTGGGCGCGGTGGCTCACGCCTGTAATCCTAGCACTTTGGGAGGCCGAGGCGGGCGGATCGCTCAAGGTCAGGAGTTCGAAACCAGCCTGAGCGAGACCCCGTCTCTACCAAAAATAGAAAGAAATTAATTGACCAACTAAAAATATATATACAAAAAAAAAAAAATTAGCCGGGCATGGTGGCGTATGCCTGTAGTCCCAGCTACTCGGGAGGCTGAGGCAGCAGGATTGCTTGAGCCCAGGAGTTTGAGGTTGCTGTGAGCCAGGCTGACGCCACGGCACTCACTCTAGCCTGGGCAACAAAGAGAGACTCTGTCTCAAAAAAAAAGAAAAAAAAAAAAAAAAAAAAAAGAACAAAGAGAAAAATGTCCTCATCTGAGTTCTCAGGTCCACACCCCTTGTGCTGCGTTTTGCATCCAGTGAATGTTTCTGTTCCAGAATTTAGGATGGAAGGTGATGATCGGTAACATGGAAAAGGACTCTAATGTTGACTCTCTGATCCTCTGCACAAATGCTGGGATAAAGATGCTCATTTTATTTAACAACTATGTGTCACCAGGATTCAGTCAGCCTTTTATCTCATATTGTATACTACACACACACACACAAACATATACGCAGGCCACACAACAAGATAAAGCCAAAAGGAGACAATAATAATGATTAACATAAACCTTTTTTTCTTCAAAGGAGTCTAATTTAGAACAAGACCTCTCTTTGCACAAAGGGAAGAGTTTATATTGTCTTATAGAACTAAATATCACACACATTAGAGCTCTTTAAATTTTTAAATTTAAATTCTGTAAACTCTTTAAATTGCTTGCTGTTGAAAGGCAAAAGAAGTCCTAATTTCAAAAATTATTTTAAGGTATATTATGCTTCCAGCTATCCAAACCACATTTCTTGCTGAGTAGACACACCTACAGGGCATACCTTGAGATTTTTGGTCATGTTTCTGCATGTAGATAAACCAGATTTTATCTCCGAATGAGTTTGGGAAACTGAGGCAGCATCCACCAGCTATCCATCTTGCTCCAGCAAACCACTGGTGATGGCAGGGCCACTGTAACCTCATGTAGCAGCACCGAGGGCTCTCTGGACAAAAACCAGTTTACCTGGTTTACATTGGTACTTGCCAATGATGCAGGCATAGTTTGGCTATGGTCCCTGTTTGGCTGTGGAATGAGAGGCGGCAGACTGAATGGAGGGGGGGGGGCTTTTCATCTGCCCCTTTTTTCTGCAAGGCAGAACCCCGTCATCAGCGAATGAGTATTCAAGGCTTGTGGTGGCAGCAGCAGATTAGGGAGAACGGGAAAGAAACAAACAATGTCGTTTGTCTTTCTCTCTGGATAAAATTATAATGAGAAAAAAATGAATGATGGATTCGGAAAGTAATTATATTTACAATGATATTATGGGCAACCCTCGTAAGTGCCTTGCCACATCCTATTTCTTGCTTCTATTTGAAGACCACTTGGTTTGTTAGAATAAAATCGTAATTGCATTTTCAATTTGCTGCTCTATCTGTTCTGTGGCCAGGATTTTATATGCTAGAGAGCTTTTGTCAAATGGAAGTCGGGCCAGGGATAATTCATCACAGGGATGGCTCTTTCGTATTTATGCCTGTTTCTGTCACTGGACTCTGGGTGTGCACATGTAGATTCATTTGTTCACCCCAGCAACGTGCTCAGGACAAGGCTGATGGAGGATGTTGCCAATTCTAGTTTCCACAGGGGCAAGAAATGGAACCATCAAGCCTTTAGAACATGGTGACTTTATGTTTGGACCTGAAGCTAAAGGTTTTGGACTCCATAACTCGTGGTTCTAACCTCTCTTTGCAAGCCAGGGGAGCTGTCCTTCCTTAGCAGAAGAAATCACCATTTTACTCCTTTATTTCCTTAGGCCTTTTCGAGGTGAGTCACCCTTGAAACAAACCTCTCGTGGAGCAGAGCTCGCTTACAAATGGACTCACCTGGGTCTTTGTAGATACTGAGCACGCCCTTGAAGTAATGAGGTAAAAATCTTTCCAGTAAAAGCAGCACATCTTCCAACTCTTCGAGAATCCCCACGAGCAGGAAGTTTTCATTCACGTTCAGCTTTGCTCGTTCAAGGGCCCACTCACCAGGCTCCCTTTATGGACAAAAAACAATTATTTTTAAATCAAAGATCCATTTTTGAAACGCAGCAACAACACACTGAAAGTTCATCCCTTCTACCCTGCCCCTATCTGCGTAAGTCCAAATCCTGTTCCTTCAGGGACCAGCCCAGATGCAGCTCTATCCAGCCAGATCCCTTTCCGTCTTTCCAGCCGGTGTCCCCTGCCCTGCTCACTGTCCCCTCCTCTGTCACTTTCATCTGTGCATAAAGTCCAGCCCAGGGCCTGGCACCTAGGGGGCCCTGCCTAAGTGTTTATAGGAAGACGATACAGGCACAGGCAGGAGGCCCTAGCACACACTGATCAAGGGGGGTTAGAGTGACTTTTTAATAGGAGGACCACACTGAACCAATGAAATGAAGTTAGATGTTTTGAAATACGAAATTTACCTACATAGTATTTACGTAGAAATCAAAATAAGCGTCAGGTCATGCCTGCTAATTAACTTATTGATTAGCAGATTAAAGAGTTTAGAGAGAAATCTCTGTTTTGTTTTGTTTTAAATCACAGAGAGAAAACAGCCTCCTCTTTGTTTGTGGGCCAGACCTCTGAACCGACACTTCCATAAGTGAGAGGAACCCAGGAGTTGGGCTCCAGGCCTGGCTGTCCCTGCCATTTGGGGGATGTTGGTTGGGCAAGCCAGGATTCTCTTTTGAAAAACAGTAATAACAGCCCTCATCTACCTCAATGTATTGTTGTAAAGGTTGAACAAGGTGACACTTCGAAAGAGTTTTGAAGATCACTGCATGTGGATCAAGACAAGGAGTCATGAGTAATCTCTCCCAGATTAGGAAATATACAATTTAAAAAATATTTTAGGGAGCTAAAATTATGTTTCTTGGAACAAATGTCTTCATCGTGATCAGAAAGTGAGTGATTTGGCCCCAAATTTTCCCAGTATCTGAAGCATTAAATATGAGCCAGGAGGTACTTATTATTAATGGGCAAGGGTCAGGTGTGTGTGTGGGGGGGGGGGGAAGGCAGAGGCCGCCTAAACTCAGGAAGTTGATGACGAAGCAGAGAACTGACACTCCTACTCTCAGAATTTGGACCATAAGCAAACTCTTGCGTTGTGGTAAACTAAACAAAAGAGCAATATAAACAACAACAGCTAAGTGGAAATCACAGCGTAAGCAGAAGTGCAACGGAGGCCTCGCAGTTTAGAAGCAGCCGGCTCCTTTGGCCTCTTCAGAGACACAAGGACCCTTCAATCAATGTTTCCTTTGGGCTATAAAGTCACTTCTGGCAACAGGGTTTATTTTTCACCAAGCAAAGAAAATCCTTCATGTGGCTACCATTTCTTCTCTAGGCTTCGTCATTTGGTATCTCAACTGTAGCTACACCAGAGTCTCCTGCAAAGGTGGCTATGCGTGCTGCGCCCCGCCTCGGAGACTGTGATGAGGTCGGGGTGCTTAGCGAGTACCCAGGGATGCTGGTGCAGGGCAGGGCATGGGCAGACCACTCCCTGAGGGCCCCGACTATCTGAGTATGTCACTTTCTGAAGAAGGTCATGCGTTGATGAAAGGTTGACAGGTGATCACTAGAAAGCATCTTCCTCTTTGTCTACTAAGGGTGTCTCGTGAGAGAGAGATTATCCAATCGTGGGTGTGACCTTCCATTGTTTCAGACCCAAGGAGACATGCCACCAGAGCAGGGATGGTTGCTGGTTAAGTACAGACACCAAGGAGGAGCAGGCTGGGTACGTGGCCCTGGTCTACACCAGCTCTTGGGTCTCTAGTGACAGCTGTTTTAGGTATAATCAAGGGTTTGGTTCCAGTTACACAGCTGTGTAGAGTGGTCCCCTGAGAGCTCTGTCAGACCCTGATTTTTAAATTCAATTATTTATAAAACATTCAGAGTCTCAAATAGTATCTTTAAAGATTAATAGTACATATAAGCTGAATTCCAGAAGGCTGAGAGACCAGGGACACAAAAGATTCCCACAGTGCCCGTCCGTTGGGTTATCTGCTCTTGTGCACGTGCACAAGCCATGAATGTGTTTCGGTCTTTACCTGCATCTGGGATGCTGTCCACAAAAATACGGAATGATGTAAAATAATCTGGGGTTGGAACACTCGGGGTAGTTTTCGAGAATACACTCGTTGATATCCTGGAAGAGAAAGCACAGCAGTGAGATGTCGCGTTGTCTCTGCAATGCTCTGGCCAATGCCACACAGTTTAAGTCAAATTAACGCTTAAATTATGTGGGCAAGCCTTGAGAGGATGTAGAGAATTCACAGATTTCACGAGAACACTTTCTTTTTGCCTCCCAACATCCCATCCCACTGGTCAGGCACACACCTGGCCGGGCCATTTCAAGGAGTGATCTCCCGGCCGAGTCAACTGCACCTCTGCATCCCAGTGGCTTGGAGACTTCGGCTGGGTCCCCAGCATCTTTAGAGCAGTTGTGCCCGTTGTATTTTGTGGTGGCCCTGGCAGTTGCCAGCCAACTGGTACGTATACAGTTGGCACTCAATAAATGTCTGTTGATTGAACTCAGTATGTCTTCATTCTTAACTAATTCTGACTTAATCGGACACCTGGATGGCCGACCCTGTAGCAATGTGTTTTCCTGTGTATCCATGTGTCCAAAAAACAATTAAGTACCTACAATATTATCATAAAGGGTTTGCACATCTTAGAGAGGCTATAAAATCATTTCTAACATTACATGAAGTTACAAAGCGACAGGGTGTTTATTATATACAGACATCCTCTCACTTTCAAAAGCAACAACTGCGGATTCCACATTTTCTATTTCCCCTTATGTGAGGTTAAACACGGCTTTTTCTGTTAGCATTGCAGGGGCCTGAAATGGCTCGGTGGGGTGAGGAGAAGGGCTCGAAACCAACTGTTATCATTGGATACCCTCTATAAGACATGCCTGGTTCTCAGGGATTTCTAAGGAGAAAAGATCACCCAATTTACAACAAACAGCTGTGGGATGTTTTTCCAGAGACAATATCAACAAGGCAGGTTAACAGTGCATATAACTCCCAAACATGGTGATGGACTGAGTTTATGAGTTGGTGGAAGCCACTGTATCTAATAGCTATTAAAAATTAAAAATTAGCTATTAAAAATTTTTTAGTTTGAGTTGGGAGCGGGAAAAAGTATAAGTTCCACTTGTTTAAAACAACAGTCCTTTCTTTCAACAACAATCCCCTCATACTTCTTTGGCTCATATACTAGTTAAATAAATTATTCAGTGACAACAAGAAATCCAACTGAAATAAACAGAATCGGCAGCAGATACACTTCAATGTGCTCAATCACCTGAGTTTGCCGAGGGCAGCTGAGATGCACCGAGTATTTCCAGACTGGAATATACGAGAAGCAGACAGAGTGCCGTGCATCAGCCCATATAGCCATGGGGTTAAGTGAAAAGTGGTTAAGAGCATCTCGTTGTGCATGAAAACCCATTAAAAATGCATGTTAAGACACAAAATACCTTTCTGAGAAGAATCTGACACAAGAGAGATGTATGGTAGGGATATTCATTGCTGCAAGATTTATTACAACAAAATATGGCAAAGTTAAAAGTTCATTAATGGGGGATTGGTTCAAAGAGAAGTTATGGTACATTCATGCAATGAAATGCTGGATACCTGCAAAGGAGCATCTCTAAGTACCATCTTGAAAAGCATCCTTGATAAATTTTCAAATGAAAACAAGTGGACTACAGGACAATATGCATATGTAGGACAATATAAAAATATACATTTATGTTTATATAAACTCTAAAATATCTGGGAGGACGCACACCAAACTATACTATGAAAAGTGTTTATTTCTGGTGGCAGGCGTGATGGAAGATGGGAATACACTGAACTTTTACTTTAGTCATTTTTGAAATGTTAGCTTTTATTATAATGGATGCATTTTACTTGCATCATGAGAAAGTACTTTCATCATGAGGAGATGTACACGTTGTGAAACAGACCAAAGCCTGTGTGGAGGGCAACTGGCTTCTGAGTCCCCCTGCTCCGTCACACTCACGCTGTGTCCTCTGGTAGTCTGCCTCCTTCCAGGGACCTGTGCCTTTGGTCCCAGGGGCCCCGTGACCCGGTGGCCTCCCCCTGCAGCAGGGAAGGAGCCAGGAGCTGGGTGAGGAGCAGAGTGCAGGGCTACTCTGGCCAGGCCAGTGTCTGTCTGCTGAGGTCACCCACTGAAGGGCACAGGAAAGTGATGGTGCTGGGACACAGGCACCCTGTGATGTGTCACACACGCAGCCAGCCCCCCAGAGTCCTGCATTAACAGAAGGGGCAGGGGAGCCAAGACTGCCAGAGCCCCCCACAGAGACGCTCGCAGCACCTGCTGCTTCTCCGGAGTTGCCTTTGCACAAGTCCTTGTACCCGTGTTTGTTCAGGTTGCAGGTCCATGAGAGCACAGACTGTTCACTGCATCTCTGGCGCTTAGCACCCTGCCTGGAAAAGGCAGGGATGCAATAAATATTGAGTGAACGAGTGGATAAACGGCAGAAGGAGAGAGCCAAGACACACAGCCCCGGGAGCAAGAAAGGAAGCGGATGCCTCTCCCACCTGCTGACCCTGCCATGATTCCGTCCCCAGCAACCCCGGCCGTTGGCTCGCAGGAGTGGCAGAGGACATGGCTGGTTGGTGGGGGGAGGGCTGACGAGGCCCTAAGGCCTAAGAAGGCCACTTTTTTTTTTTTTTATTGGAATCCGCAAATAACCTCACAAGGTCAGTTTATGGGAAGACATAAATTCCTAGCTTAAAAAGTACAGTTAACAATTCTTTTCTTAGACCAAGGCACATCCCAGGGGATTTCAGAATTCCATGTGAGCCCATCAGGTTGATGAATGGTGTTCATCACAAGCCATGCTATGGAAATGCTACTGGAGGACATAAATAAAAGATGACTGGGCCGGAAGATCCGGCGGAAGCAGAAACGAGCTGTGAAGCCCCAGGCATTGAGCCGCCAGCCACTTAGCTACAGCCACAGCAAGCAGGGGCCTTCGGGAAACTGCTCCTGGTCACTCATACAGTCAGTCCACTCTTCCTGGGGCCAGGACCTTTAGCAAGTGACATTTCAGCTTCCTGGGAAACTGAATGGGACAAGTCTCAACACAGCTGTGCTTACAGTGTCCTGTTCTGGCAGGTGCCTTGCAGCCTCCCAGGCCCTTGGGTTCCCCCAGTGGTAATGATTTCATCTTTTGGTGTAAGGTCATTATCCCGTGTTGTTTTACAATCACCTTTTAAGACCACAGTTCTCTTAGAACATACATTTTTAAAAATGATTATGCAACTTCATTTTTTCCTTTCATGCAGTGCATCTAATGTAAGTTTGCTTTAAAAAACTACTTTAGTATTTATTTCAAACCCTCTCTATGATTGTCATCACAGCAATGCCCTTAGCCAAGCCAACCTGCTCGCCAGCATTTGATCTACGACCTGCGCATCTAGTCCCTGGATCTTGGCGTCTACCATTCGCACCTCTGCACTGTCCACGCTGCTCAGAGTCTCACATTATTAGGGAAATGAGATAGACTCTCTGAGTGGGCATTCCAGATAACTATGAAATCCTTTTAATGGCCAACATTTCAGAAAAAAATTGAGTCTATTTGTGTTGAAATGTATTCTAAACTGTACTATTTTAAAAAGCATTCATTTAATCCCTCTAGGTTTTCTTTGTGGTCATGTCTTCTTCTATTTGGATCTTGGATCTTACAGTGAAATTATCTTTTTATCTCGTATTGTTTTCATGGGATGAACTAGGATGAGTGGCACTCGCCTTTGAGTTCTAAAGGGTCTGCTGGGTTCACAGGGTCTCCTGTCACTGCAGCCAGCTCTTGGGGTCCTTCTAGAGTCCTCCCTCACCCTCTCCGTGTCCACTCAACTGCTGGCCCTGCAACCCCACACGGTTCCTGACCCGCCTCTCCTACCATTCCACACCACAGGCCCTCTTCGCCCCATAGGTTGGTTGCAGCAGCTCCAACCCCTTCCTTCCACCTCTCCTCCCTGAGTGCACCCTCCTCATGGCTGCCCAGTAACTCATCTGAAGGGAAAATTCATCCACGTCACTTCCTTGTTCAAATACCTTGGGTGACTCTCAGTGATAATGCAGCAGGAATAACAATCAGCTGGGGCATTTAATTAAAACATGTGAACTCCCTGGCCCTACTTCCAGGACATCTTATATATAAGGCCAGGAATCTGCATTTTAAAGGAGAACCTCTGGTGATTCTGAGAAGATGGTCATGCTTCATGAGCCGTCTGTGCAGTAGGCAACTGCGTGCCTCTGCTCTTCCTCTCCCTTGCCTGCAATTTCCTTCTGCCTCCTCGCCTGGTCCCAGTAGCAGGCCTAGGTTCCTGGTGGGAAGAGTTAGCACACCCCAGCCACCGGGCTCTGGGTCACTCAGGCCCAGGAAGGGGAGGCAGCTTTGGCCATGGCCTCCCTTCCTTACTGGCCGTCCACTGCCAGCCATATCCAGAGGGTGGTGTCTCGGGGCACTGCACACTCTCTTCACTGCTGGCTGGAACTCACGTCTCCAGGAGGGGTGTCCTGCCCCAAACCTCATCTGCCAACCTGGACACAGTCCTCTGATGCAGTCTTAGTCCTTAGGGCTGGATCCAGGGTTCCATTAGAAGTGGACGAACTTCATAATGGTGCCCGCAAAAGGACTTCCAAGCTGGACTGAGTGCCACTTGCCATCCCAAAAGGACCTTCCACGCTACCTGGCAGGGGTCCCTCCATGTATCAACACTTGTTTCACCCACATCGGGGCTTGCTCCGGAGATCAGACCCTGCATCCCCCACTGGGGTCCTGGACGGTCCCTGCCCCTCCCCCGCAGGGCGGCCTTCACCAGCCCTCACCTCCTCCTCCTCCCCACCCCCCTGCACTGCCGGGTCCCTGCAGGCTTCTTGCCTGCTTCTGCCCAAACAGGAAACTGCTCCTTTATTTCTCTGCAGATCAAGAACTTGACACTTGCTTCCTCTCTTCGATTTCTAGTTATAATTTTAGAAAGGGTGGAAGAATTGAAATCCTAGGTGGAGTTATTTTATCACAAAAGGTGAATAAAATATGAATAGGAGATATTCATATTTTATTTATCCTTTTATGATACAGGATATTTTATAATACAGCCA